ATATATATATATATATATGTACCGCCAAAATTATGAATTAATAAGTCGCAGTCATGTTTTCATCTATGACTTATGTCAAAAGTCTGCTTTTAATTTTGACAAGTTAGAAGCATTGTCTATCCTATGTGTGCTTCATTTTCACTTTGTTGAGCCTAGATTGTGGCGAATCCATCCAAACAAAATAAAGGCCTCCCCTCGAATAAATGTTTGTTTCCCCTTACACATCCTCATTAATTTCTGGCCAGGTATTTAATATTTGATACATGTAATTCAAAATTGAAAACATTTTCTGAAACTGTGAAAATGGGTAAAAGAGGTTTTTATTTGTAGTTTTTAATTGAGAGCAACTCATATGGAGTTATAGTGTGCTATTTTCATACAGCATACAGTATCATGGATTTGTCACATAGTATATCATTTTATCGACACAGACAAAGAAAACAAGACATGGAGGGATATGCACACACACACACACACACACACACACACACACACACACACACACACACACACACACACACACACACACACACACACACACACACGACTAAACTTCAGTTAATAAAGGACAAAAGGATCAGACGTATCCCAAAGAAGATTCAGCCTATCCTGAAAACAAAAAAAAAACAAACAGAAGAACAGAAACACTTGGTTATCAAGAGCACTACTGAATCACAAAGCACACAGTCGGTCCTTTAACTGACGCACTATTTCCGATAAAACTGTGCGATATCATCGTGGCTTACATTTTGCATGCATGTGTTCGTTAGTTGCTTCAACAACTTTACTTGCACACTGACTGTTTTGTGATGCTTTCTTTCTAAGCTAATGTGCGGTTGAACTTTGTTCTCGATGACTTTTTCAATGTCAGACTTTGCTGCGCTCATTCTACCCAAATGAAAGAAAGTGTTTGACAATTGAGACTTGTCAGGCTTGACAATTTTACCAGTGTTTGCAGCAATATGATTCTCTTATAGACACCGCAGGGTGTAGAGGTAATGCAATGTAAGCAATGTGTTCAAAAAATAAACCGCATAGAGTAAATGGTGCATTTGTAATAAACATCTGACATTTATACAATGAATCTTTTTTCAATTTTGAGTACCGACGAATGTCGAAGCAATTTTATAATGATAGCTTTAATTCCTCAATTGAATTAAAGCTAAAAATATAAACAAATGTTAAATGTAATTGTTCCTTGTGCACTAACCTCTTGCAGTGTTACAGCCCAGACCGCTTGCATTCCCTATCCGATCCATCCTGGCACCAAAGCAGCCCGATGCCCGTTTTCTGGCCGTCACCAGCAGGTCCAGTAGGCGGTTCCTCGCGCTCAAGGCCCGGTTCTGGACTTCAGCCACTGCTTGGGATCGTTCCTCTGTGGCAGGTTCTTGGTCCCTGTCCTGCTGCGTGTTCCATCCTCGGTCGGACTGGCCGCGTTCTGGTTCTTGGTTCATCGTTGCATAGTCCATTTCAGAGGTGTCCTCTTGAGCTGCTTCTGCCAGAGTCTCCTCAAAGCGCTCAAGCAAAGACTTTTGCAGAAGGCAGGATGCACACAAGAGAAGACAATATTTTTCATGAATGGTTTGAAATAGGTTATTACCTTCAGGCGCTGATGTCAAAGTCAAGGCTTGGGGGCCAGATCTGGCCCACCACACCATTTCATGTGGCCCGCAAAAGCAAATCAAGCACATCAAATTCCATGATGTTTGCTAAAGTCTGAACCAAAATTTCAAATTGTCATATGTAATCCACAATAACAGTCATTTTTCTTGACTTCTGATTTTAAAACTAGTTATTCATCAATTTGTTGTGCACTGTGTATGTAATATGTGGAGGGGGTTAAACATTTATTTATATGGTTTCCCAAAATTCTTAACGGCCCTCCAAGGGAAACCGTAACTACAATGTGGCCTGCAGCAAAAACAAATTTGACACCCCTGCCTTAAGGTAAAGACTCGATACATGTGAAATGTTAATTTTGAGCTTTTATGTTAATTTTGAGCTTTACAAATTCCAATGATACATCTGATCTCCCAAGTTTTTTTTTTACTTCAAAAAAATGCACGATTAGACAGATCAACCTTTATAACGTGACTTATCTTGCTCTCTCCAAGTCCTCAATTTTTTTTTCGACAATCAACATTGCAGACCACACATACCCATTGAAAGTGTTTTTCAGTCTGACCATCCTCCCTTACCTTGAGCTCGGCCAAGTCACCAGGAGAAGAGGACCTTCCCAAACTGTGACTACTAACCAGCGTATACCGACACAGCAGGGGCAGCAGACCCCACAGGACCACAAGCCTCATGTTATCCTTCAAATACAAGTCGCATCACAGCCACTGCTGGAAACTGCTTATATATGCACAGGCACACGTACACAATTAGTCGACGGCGTCAATGGCTCCTCCTCTTGCACATTGCCTCAAGCGCATTCTAACACTTCAACATGATAAGTCCAATGTACCTTTAAGTGGTGCTCGGAAGTGATAGTTGTGTGTGAGTCTCTGCGTGAGTCTAGGGTATAACATGTCTGTGTACGATCAGCCTTCCCAGCCAGCTGTAGCATGACCTCAGGAGCCATCTACAAGCTGTGAGCTCAGACATGGTGTTTAGTCACAGGAATTCCTCGCTGCATGCAGACAAACACCATAGTAGGTTAAAACTGGGACCCTCCACCTTAAGGCAGTGATTGAACTTGGGCGCGATTACGGTCAGTGTGGTTCATCCTCTGAACGCAATCTTCTTTGTGTCTTTCCTATTTTGGTTGTGGACATTCGCAGTGGACATGCAATAAGCAAAGTGAAGACAACAATTCATAATCTGTCACCAATGGATAACAGTTTCTCCATTTGACTTTAGCGAGCTATGACGAATTTTGCAGAGTTGACATTCCGCAGTCTAACCTCTATTAAGTTGTAAGATGGCAAGTCATGTTGAATAAAATGGAATAAGGTGTCAAAATGGTTTCACTATCCCTAAACAGTAAGTACCCCCAACCTTGATCATTCAGAAAACTCTCATGATCATCGTTTTAAATGATAGTTTAAAACGAGATATTAGTTTGACTCAAACAAATAAAGTTTGCCTACATCATTATTTCAAAGAAGAATGCTGTCATGACCATTCAGAATGATTTTTGTCTGAAGGATTTTGGCTGAGAGAAACTAGCTGACTTTGCTTTCTTTTTTCCAAAATCCATAATCACTCATGCGTGTTATACACATGTAAAATCTTATTGTAATAACGCTATTTAACACATTTGACTTTTTTTTTTTTTTTTTTTAAATCTGAGATGCTAGTAAACTTTTTTACATAATATTTTTTGCACTGGTTACGAATTCCCCCCGCCCCCCGTTTTTTCTCATCAGGTTTTCATAATACAGTAGTAATAATACAATGATAATAACGTAATGTGTAACATAGTAATATATGTACTGGTAGTAATATTTATGAATTATGAATTTCCTGAAATGTCACAGCTATAAATGACTTTTTTCCCCTATAAATTGCTTTTATAGGTCAAATTAAAAAAACAAACAAAAAAAGAAAATATCTGAAAAACCAGACCTGCTAGAAAAAAATAGACTTGTTGTTTTATTAATCAGAGTCAAAAATACACTTGTTGACAGATGAAGCCATCGCGAATTAAAATTCGCTGTTGATCAGTGTAACTGGATCACCACCACGCTGACATGGCTCCACAAGAGTTTCCCATTAGAAATGACCACGATATGTTAGCCAACACAATGCAACTTTTGGATCACAGGAGTGATGCTGGCCGATAAAGGTCCTTTGTGAGTTCTCTGAATTCTACCACAAAACAACCATTGGCAGAAAAAAAGATTTCATTCCATGTGTAGGGACCAAAGAATCGCACCCATTTCTCTGTTGTCTTCAGTCTGACTTGAATCTCGAATCCACATGGGCCGCTGTGTGTGCTCTCCATGGTGCTGAAAATAACTCCTTTATACTTTAATTAAAGAAATTAATGGCCACATTCTCAATTATTGCCCAGAATGGGGTTTGTGTTTTTTAGGCACATTACGGGAGACATGTATGCAGTTGGTGCATAATTAATGAAACGCTACAAGTGACTACAAGTGACAGGGAACCAACAGTTTTTCTATATGATAATATTATGATATTATCTACATCTTGTATAGCTGATATGGCCACATGGCCACAGTATATTTGTTATATTCTTGTGTTTTTTTTTTTTTTTTTGTCATAGAGGAAGTTGGTTGAAAAATTTGTGTTGCTTGGCGACAATGTACGGTACTTGCTGTCAATCATGAGTGGTTGTACTCCAGTCAGCTGCTGTTGTAAACATTTATTGAAACATTTAGAGCATGAACTTAAATTTTGCATACATTAAAATAAATAAACATGTAATGCACAAACAACTGACTTTAAATATTGGGTATAATAAATATCAAGTGAGTACTAAATAACATTTGGGAGTGAAATTGCAGTTCCACAAGGTCCTTGATGTTAAGACTTGATCATGATTTGGGATCTGCAAGAGAACACATGGAACACATCTTTACCTTTTCCAATGTTTTAGAACCACACCATTGGATACGATTGAATTTATTGTCAACTTACTGTATTTGCCAACACTGTTGCAGCCTAGGGAGCTCATGGACCCTATTCGGTCCATACGGCGACCAAAGCAGTTAGAAGATCTTCTGGTGGAGTCACTGCGCATGCTCTTCAGATTTTTGGCTGAGAGAAACTCTCGGATTGAAGCTTCATCCAAAGCGTCCTGTGGCTGCTGTGCATCAGCGTCTCTGTTCAGGTTATCAAAAGTGTTGTCCTTCTCTGCAGAGAGCCTCTGTTGCATCTCAGTCTGCTCCGGAAGCGACTCCTTGAGTGTATTCAGGAGCACCTATGACATGCCAGGAGGTATGTGAACATTTAAAAAAAGGCTGTTATGAATTGATATTAGCCAAAATGTGTTTGAGTTCATGAACGTAAAATGAATGACAAGAAATCCTAAACTATTTTCAAATTACATAACTTCAACATACCCTTAAGATGTCCATGTCACTGGACGTCAGGCTGGTGCTAACAGGATATGTGCTGAACAGCTGAAGGTTCAAGAGGAGGAAAAGGCCGCAGGCAACACAGGAAGAAAGTGACATATTTCTTTTCCTTTTTTTTTTTTTTTTTTTATTTCTGGAGTAGAGATGGAATCTTTTTGGGATTCTTTGCTGAATAGCTTGTGGATGCTGGAGCCCACAGGACCAAGCTCTGCTCTTTTATACAGTCCATTAGGGTATGCCAGGAATTGGACTTGAATTCCTGACACCTTTTCCTGATAACGCAAGCTGTCGGAAACGGCTCCCTTTAAAGGGTTCTCTCTCAGAAGTGGGGCATCCAGACATTCATATGACATAGTGGCATCCATACACTGCCAGAAACAGACTGCCACCTCCCAACAATCCCTAACACGGGACGTTGTTGTCACAGAGCTACGGGAAGTAGTAAATGACCACACTGTGTCATTGTGTGTGTGTGTGTGTGTGTGTGTGTGTGTGTGAGAGAGAGAGAGAGAGAGAGAGAGAGAGAGAGAGAGAGAGAGAGAGAGAGAGAGAGAGAGAGAGAGAGAGAGAGAGTAGATGTTACTAATTTAAGGAGTGTGTATGTGACTGTTGACGGTTGCCTGAACAAGGACAAACTGAGTCCAGACTGACAGTTTGACAGTTTGTCAGGAAAACAGACTCCTCACTGGCTCTTCGTACACTTGAGGAATGTCTTTAGATTATATCTATGTGGCAGGAAGATATGAGAAGGAATTTAGATTTGTATCATGATGATTTTTGTTATGTAACTACAATTTACCAAAATCCATTATGGTTGCAGACATTTGAAAATAATGTTTATGAAACAAAATGCGTTTATATTTGATTCCAGGAATCGTTGGTTTGCAGTGATGACCACAGACGGTTGTGGAATTGATTTTTGTCAAGGGGGATATTATTAGTTTTTGTTGTTGTTGTCATAAATTTGTTGGACCACAATTGAAAAAAATACAATGCCTTTTTATTGTAGCTAATTTAAAAAATATATTTTTGTTATTTTATTGACGATTGTGGCATTTATTTATTTATTTTACTGAGTGGTAATAATAATTTGGCAAGCATTTACACGTGCATGTCTGGTAAGCTGTAGTTTAAAAAAATGCTAAACGCTGCAAAAAACATTTGAAAGCGAGACAGACAGAGGGTCAGGCAAACAGACAGGCACACAAGGCCACTTGTATGCAAAATATTTTTACTGCATTACATTAAAATTGAAATTCTATTACAACTCAAAATAATAAATAAGAAACAGCTTCCACAACAGTTTTCTGAAAATATCCAGTGGTGTTTGAAGTGGAGTGTCAGTCACGATTGAATACTTTTTTCTGACAAATCGTCATCACATACTCCTGTTGACAGAAGAAAAGAAAATTGAAAAAACGGGTTAGTATCAGAACCCACTACCCCTAGCCCCTCCGTTTGGCTCTATATACATATATATATATATATATATATATATATATATAAAACAAATAACCACCAACTAGCATCCCATTTGAAAACCACACCACAATTTTGTGCGCCCCTGCATATATATGTATATATACATATACACACACACACATATATATATATATATATATATCCATTTAGATTTGAATTACATTTTGTTGTCATTAGCTACTCATCTTTCACATTCAATCTAGTTTCTTTTGGAATCACAGAAGTGCTGAAGTTCCTCAACAAGTCAAGTCAAATTTATTTTTGGACTTTTTGACAACAAAGGTGTCAAACCCATCAATCAGCAAGCTCTGCAGGAGCCTGATACTGATCCTGATCATCTCGATCAGGTGTGCTGGAGGAGGGAAACATCTAAAACATGCTCCTTGAGGACCAGAGTTTGTGTTCTACAACAACAGCCAGATAGTCAACAACAGACTCTCCTCTGTATTCTCACCCTCAACATCCCAATCCACTGAAAGACCCGATCCGGTCCAAGCGGACGCCGAAGCAGCTCCTCAGCCCCCCTTTTCGGTACCGACTCCAGTTACGCTTGGAGGTCCGGAACAGGTCTTTGAAGAGAAGGGCAAGGACATCTGCTTTCGCCTCCAATGCTGAGTTGCTGGGTTCGGGGAATTCCCACGAGTACCCATCTGGAGCTCCGTGCTTTGACTTTTCTGCATTGCCACCTCTCTCTTGCATCTCCTCTGCAGAGTGATGAGCCTTGTCATCAATCTCTTCCAAAATCTGGTTCAAATTCTGATGGTGAAAGAGAGACATGAAAATGTGAAACAAAACGATCGATCTATCTATCTATCTATCTATCTGTCTATCGGTCTATCTATCTATCTATCCACCCATCCATCCATCCAACCATCCATCTACCCATCCATTGAAGAAGAAGAGGACATACCTGTAAATCAGACATGGGTTTCCCTCGAACATAATCAAGCACCAAAAGGAGATTAAAACAGCAAAGTGACACAGTGAGGTTCATGTTCTTTTTTTTTTTTCTGCCTGCTGGAGCTCGACTCAGGCTGCCCTGGTCTTGGTGTCGTTCTGACTCTCAGCATGGGCAGGTGAAGCCTTTATAGCAGACCTGATGACGTCACCAAGCTTGGAAAATTAATGACGTGCGACTAATGTTCTAGAGAGTGGGAGTACAGGCAAAGTTCAGTTTGAAAAAGGGTGGGCTGGGATAATTCAGCGACATGCAGGCACAAGTCAACGAAAATCAGGACGTCTTTAATGATGTTTCGTTATTTGGAATGCAGCCATGCATCCACCCCATCACCAGGAGACAGACATGATACCGTCTGACATGAAAGAATTCACTGAGAAATATAGTTTTTTATTCCAGTTTTTCTCAGTTGCTTTGGTACATTTCCCTGATGAAAAATTAGTTCTTCCAAACTATTTGTTACAGTGCTGTCGCTTGTGCACAAAAAAAGTGGCTTCTCGTTTCTTAGTACAAGCTGCAAATGATTTGGAACATCTGTGCAAATAATTCTGCAGAATTTTCTGCCATTTTCTGCATTATCAATTTCTTATGTTGATCAAAAGGTCGGTCGAATTGTCTCATCATATAGGTCTTTACGTGGTTAAAGTGGAGATGAGAAGCTGATGGCATCGTGGTACACTCACCTGACTTGTGTGCGGGCACCGTGGGCCACTCAGCAGCAATGTGGGTCTGAATGCTTGTTTGTCTCTGTATGTGCCCTGTGACTGACTGGCGACCAGTTCAGGGTGTAGTCTGCCTTCCGCCCTAAGTCAGCTGGAATAGGCTCCAGCAATCCTGTTCACGATAAGCAGTGATGAAAATGAATGGATTTCCATACTTTTTCATTAGACTTTTTTTTCCCCCAGTTTGAATATCAAGCATATTTCTATACATTCCCTCTAGACTTTTTCCCCCGAGGTGAATCTTGTCCTAACAAAGGGAAATGTGTGAAGCATTAATTCAATCAATGATCAACACATTTTCTGAAATAGATCATAGCAAGTGAAGATATTGCAGTATTTGTATGCTGATATAAATTCCCACCAAGATAAAAGAAAATAAATGAGCAAAGTGAGGGACAATAAACTGTTGAGCCCAAAAAAATCACAGCATTTCATTTTTGAAGACGGCGGGGCAGCTGTAACGATCATAACCGTTTACAGCATAACGCCTGGCAGGTTGTTATTCATTGTTGTTTTGCTGGCAGTGTTTTTTAACCAAAGATAGAAAATAGCCACATGTTGGCGTCAGAGGTTAATTGGAATATGGAGCATGTGTGGCTCTTTGTGCTTCTGTGGAGTGTTTGCATCGACTCAGGCTAAATGATGAGCAATTAGCCCAGGACCCAGTGAAGCTGAGCTCACTTGTGGAGGATTACGACTGCTAATTGACATTTCCCCAGCTTCTCCACTGGAAGGCTATTATTCTAAATTGACTCAGGCCTCGGGGCGGCGGGTAATGGTTCACACGTTCTTTTTATGAAGACAATCAGATTCAAAGTTGCGTCACATCCATATCAAATAATATAGCCCACCCTACCATGGACATTATTAAAACACATTATTAAAATCAACTCTCAAATTGTATTGCGAGAACACATGACACCAATTTTAAAATCACGGCATTGGCTCCCCGTGTACTTTTTAGGAATGTTCATGATTGGAAGCCTTCACTGAACTTTGTTGACCAATGTAGTGTATAGTCACCTATTATATTTGAACCGAATGTGGAGTTTCCTGTTTTTTTTTTGTTTTTTTTTAATATGAGATATGTGAAAACCAATCAAGACATTGTGAAAGAAGAAGCATTTCGACTTAGACGTTTTACCCATTCAATCTGGTGGTTTTCCCTCACCAGACTGACTGACATTTAAACCTGTTAACAGTCACTCAGTTGACGTTGGCCCCCTATATTGGTTCCCCTCCATTAATGACCTTAATTTGAGTTTCAGCACCCCATCACTTAAACAACAACTTGCTGAACTGAGGCGGGGTAGCCTGAAAGGAGTGAGACACAATTGGTAAATGTCACAATTATGTCAGTGCTACGGCTCCTGAAAGTTAATTGCTATTTACTTATTATGAATGGACCACCACAGTTGATGACAGTTATCCTGTCCGCCATGGTGGGAGATACCTGAACTTTTGGGAAGGGGTGCGAAATTGAGACTGTAAACAGGTATCAAAACTCATTTCGGAGCTTAAGTCGTCCCTCTTAGGACCATTACGACAGTGAAACCGAATAAGTGTTAAATCATCACATCGTATTATTACTTGTACACACAATAGAATTGTGATTAGTAGTTTTGAAATCAGTCTATTTATTTGTTGTTTGTTCAATTATTGTTCAAATGAGTGAAAACAGGGTAACAAAATGTTTGCAAATTCTCAACATTATTTATTACACATGGAAATTTGATATTTGACGGTACATATTTTTGCAAGACTCGTGGAAGTTGACACACATAATTTGCTTTTGCGGGCCACATAGAATGATGTCGCCGGCCAAATTTGGCCCCCGGGCCTTCAGTTTGACACCTGTGCTCTAGACTAACCAGGTTCCACCATACAGGGGCCACAATGGTATAATAAATGGTAGCCTCTGTTGGTCAGACCATGACACAGTATTTGGATGCAAATGACAAGCATATCGTACTGAAATTGCTACAAATCCTCTTGTTGGCACCACATCACCATTCACCATTGATACCGAGGT